GGGCAAGGAAATGGCAAAGACAGCTTTCTCCCATTGCCACCTACCTGGGACTCAGTACATGGTAAATGCTCAATAAACTCTCAAAGCCTCTCGAGACACCGTGACCATGGGGTGAAATACAGGAAAGGGTGGAAGTAGAGAGCTAACCACCAAAGGAAGAAAGTTCAAGAGAATCCTTGCAACTTTCCTATAAGTGTAAAATGGCCCCAAAATAACTTGAAAAGTCTAGAGAAGCGAGTGGTTATTTCTACAAATATTCCAGTGGACCAATCATTGCACCAGCCCTTTGGAACCCTCTGGTTTCTACCTGTGTGACATGGCAGTGAGCCTTCCTCTTTGCTCCTTTCATTTCTTTCCTTCACCCAAACTCTCGGATCCAACTTCCGTTATCACACTTCTGAAAACGTGTGGACACCTCGTGACTTAGTCACGTACTCATTTGACACTTGTGTTAATATATTCATTGCTCGGGGTGATGGTAACAGAAAATCACCCAAATTCTGTAAAGATTTAAATAGGAGATCTCGTTTTCTGTGTGTACAAACGTGTATCATTTAGAACGGAACTGTGCAAGAGAAGTATGAGAACTTGTCATCAAGGAGAATTCTCGCTTCTGGCAGAGGAGGTTTCGTTTTTTCAGACATGAGTCAGGTGCTTAGTCTGTAGCAGCCAAGCAGAGCTCGGGCGTGGAACCATAGCAGTCTGCCCTCTGCTGACGCAGGGAGAAAGGGTTTGGGGGAAGGCAAGAAGAATTTTGCTTTTCTTCAACTATTTATAGGCTACTTTTTTTCCTAGCAGTTTTAGTTCCACAGGCTTTTATTCTTCATATGCTCCCCTCCTAATCTCCTCTTTCTTCCCTCTCAAATGAGCACTAGAAAGGAATGTTTACGTCCTGTTTTCTGAATGCAGCTTCATGTTCCTGTTCTAAAGTTGTGATTTTCAAGTGACTATAAACTGTGGCTGTTGGTCACTAAGTGTTCTAACTCTGCAGATCAACTTGTAAAAGATGGGGATTGCAATCCTAAATTAGTTTTGACTCCCATAAAACCTTTGGCTGATTTAACAGCCCTCCGCTCCCACCACTAAAGTGAGTGGCTTTCAAACTTTCAAAACGTTTTTCAAAAAAGTTTTTCGGGCGTCCAACATAAGACATTTCAAATTGTAACCCAGTGCACATAGAAACATACAAGCGGAATAAAATTTCTCCGAACGGTACTTCCCCTCACTGCTTACTCTTACAAGCACACTTCTTCTCTGTTCTCTCCTGAGCCACATCCTCTAACCGGTGCAGCTTGGGAAACGGGACCGCGCAGACCACAGGCCCTTGGGACGGGAGCCCCAGTGACTGCTCTGCATGTTCACACTGGAAACTGATGCAGGACATAAAAGCACATTTTAGACATCTTATTTTTGTCATAAATCGGTGGTGTACAAAGATCAGCTAAAAGGGAGAAAGCAAACAAATGTGTCAAGAAAAATTAGGACTTCAAAAAAGACAAGTTACATGAAGTGCCAGTTTTTTCAGTGAACTGGAAGGCACATTTATTATTACACATCACCCTGAGGTTTACACTGGTCTGTCTGGACTGTAAGATTTTAGTAAAATATTGTAATTATGCCTAAATGCCCCAAATTAGCTACCTGTGCTGTCATTTTGGATGTCTGAGACAAAAATTTCTTTCTGAGTCTACACAGCTGAATATCTGTGATTGTGATTTTGTGTCATCTTATGCACTCAATACACGTTCTCACTTTATTTTCAGAAATTCAGACAAAGCATGCTGGCCATTGTTGCCGGGCATGTGACTGAACTACTGAGTCTGGGAGCACGTTACTGTGTGTCAGCTTGAGTGACGGGTGTCGGTCGTCACAGCGGCTGTGACGGCCCTCCCGTTCACGTGGATAGGACTGAGGTCCAGGTTGGGGCTGTGGGCCCGAGCAGATGAGGACACGGGCTTGGACACTGGTCGGGGAGTAGAGCCCAGGCCTTTCCCCTTCCTGTGTGACGCGGGCCGACACTCACCTCTCTGAATGCTGCAGCCACAGTGGACGCAGCAAAGTCCTGTGCACACATCGTCTTGTGGCAGGTCCACTCTTATAGGTGCATCTCAAGCCAGGTGTTTGACAGGGACACTGGGGGACCTTTTGCCTTACAGAAAGCACTTTAGGGGAATATAAAATCACAGAATCACAGGAAGGGACCTATTATTCTCAGTCCAAATAAAGGCATTAAGGGACTGACAGAAACGAGGACTAGAACCCATCTCAGCCTTCCACGCCAAAGCTCTTTCTGCAAGACAAGGAGGCCTGAAAGGAAACAAAAGATGAGTTTTGTTTTCCCTTAGCAGCATCTTTCCAATACAATAACTAATTATGGATCTTTGCTAGGTTTCATGGTCTCACACTATTGAACCTTGGTGACATGATTCTGCAGAGTTCTGATCCCATCGAAATATTCCCACTTGAGATAAGAAAGGAGCAATAAAACTCATTTAGTGAATACGAAGTCCTCCTTTGCCCTGTTGAAGAGCACTTGTGTGTTCCAAAGTACGGCCCAACCCCAGGCGGCCTTGAGAACGGGACTGGAGACCAGAGAGGTCTCTACGGGTTCACACGCCGGCTCCACCTGTGTAGTTGACTAAAGCTGCTGTGTGTTCTTCAGCCTCATTTCCCCCACTGGTAAAGAAACAACAAAAACCCAACTCCATCTACATGGAATTGTTCACGTGACATATTTGTAAAGGCAGCCAGCACAGAAGAAACTCAAATGTCAATTACGCTTTCCTTTAAATTGGCAACAGAAAAGAATTTCTGTGAACTGAGTTATATCTTCAATCTGTTCTTGCATATGTATTCCCATGGGAACCAAACTTAAAGGATGTACACTTTTTGGCAAAGGGAAAATAGAGATCATAGAAACCCTTCTTGGCCGGTACAGGTCTGGGGCGTCTTGGAATGCTCTGGGATGCACAGTGACCTCCATTCCCCATTTAGTAGCTCGATCACCCCAACACAGGGATCTGTCTGCAGCTAACCCTCCATTCCTCTGCCTTCTACCCATCTCAAATAAAAGAATATAGTTAGGGAACTCCTAAATTTCCAAAGCTTTGTTATATTTAGATATTTAATAAAACTAATAACAGAATCATTTGGTTCTTAGAAAATCTGAAACTTCCATGAAGTCGAGGTTTTAGGTGATGATAGTCACTACTGTTTATTAAGGACCCAGGAGGCAGGCACAGTGCTCATGGCCGAGTGCTTGCAACCACCTCAGGAGGTGAGAACTGTTATCACCAGAGCCAGAACACTGAAGCCCGGGCAGGTGACATCACTGAGGCGGGGACGCGAAGCCAAGCAGAGCCCAGAGTGTATATCCCGAGCAGGCTGGTGCCCTACCTGGTTTGCATGTCCTCCCCTATCATCCTGCCCCTCCTCCTGGACTCCTTCCACACTTGTCTGTCACACGACTCGACAATTCCACGCCACCTTGCCCTGTCTGGAGGTTAGATTTATCTCATAATTAACTTGTAAGCACCGCTGTGTCCCCACCCTCAAACACGTGATTCAGATAAAAACCTACAAGTCACAAGTGGGCAAAAGAAACCTAGAATGGGGATGGCTCTCTTCTGGGATTAAAGTTTTAGCTGGCACAGCATTCATATTTCAGTGAAGCTTCAAACTCGAAAACGGCTTCTCTTCAGCCAACTAGCCCCAGAAACTGCAGGTTCCAGTTCTAAACTCTGCAAATGCACTAAGTATTTGGTAATTGGTCCTTTTATGACTACACACTTAGAAAATGATGATTATCCAAATCTGGGAGAAACTGGGTTTAAAGAGCTTGGAAAGGACTAGGTAGCAATGAACTTTGTTGCTCATTTTGAGTGAGGGTGATAATGTTCACTGATACACAAACTCAGGAGCCTTGGCTATACAGTACTTTACTCTCTGGGCCTTTCTCTTCGATTGAAGAATGATGAACATTCAAACAAGTTTCTTCATCCTTTGACCACTAACCATAGCAAGAAATTAATTTTCGTAATGACCTACTACATACACATTTATATCTGGAATAAATTTCATGCAGCAATAACTTATTCTTAACTCGTACAATGCATTTGGTATTTCTCATCTTCTCTCTTACTAAAATACTGATTGCCACCCACTAAAATGATCCTATGATCCCCTATTTGTAAAAGCGTGAAAAACACTAAGTGTGTCTCATTATCTAAGAACAAGATTCTGTAATTTCCATCTCATTCTTCCCCCAAATTCTTAGAAAATGGTGGGATTTGCACGGTCTCCAGCATTCGGCCAATGGCAGTGCCACCTCCTCAGCCGTTTTACTGGACTTCCCTCCTGGCAGCCCAGGAGCACAGCAGGTGAAGAACACGTGCAGGGACCTGACATGCTGTGACAGTCTAATACTGCGGCCCGTAGTAAGAGACAGTGCTGATTTTTCTTAGCGACCTCCACTGAGGCTGTAAAATAGAGCCACTAATCTTTTCTTGTAATAAAACTTACAAACTGTCCCGCCCAGTCCACCAGCCCTTTAAGCAGAGTTGGCCTGGCTGGTCCTGAACGAGCTCTTCCTGGTGTTAACCTCGGAGAGACACAGGACGTCAGCTGTTTTCTGCGGGCCAAGCTGCGATGTTTACACAGCTCTGGCTTCTTGGGTGACTTAGGCTCTTACGACTTGAAAAATGCCAGGGCAGACAAGCAGTCTCTAAGCAAAACCAACAAGTACCCAATTACTTTGTTTGCACAGATGCAAAAGCATGGAAATTTATATGGTGGGGTCTGAATTCCCCAGTTTGTTTGTTTTGTTTTTAATTACACACCCAAGTAAATGCATAAAATCCCACAAAATGAGTGCAGCGAAAAATGTCATCTTTTCTATTTTTAAACTGAAGTACGGAGCCCATAAAAGCAAAGCTGTCGTAAATTTTCACTTGGGGACAAAACCACTATACCCAGGAAAAAAATGCATACACACACCCACATTTAACAGCGGTAAACAGTTTTTATTCAGGCAATGAAACATGGAAAAAATATATTAGTAATCATTATAATAATTTCATTTGTGTGAGTATAACTTTTACAAATATTTACCTGACATATAAAAGGGAAGTCACTGTGCATATAAAATTTATGTAGATGACGACCCCACACGACACCGTCCTGTCCGCAGTAGTCAGTGCAGCGCCCGGCCCCCTGGGCGGCAGGCTCCTCACACACGTCATGGCACCCGTGGGGACACGGTGGAAGCAGAAGTGCAATGAACATTTACTGGTTGGCACATTAGTACAAACGCTATCTACTGGCAAACACACACTTGCTCACAGCAACACTGGAACGTCTACTGCTACCTCTGAGATGGAAAAGCAGGGCCTGGGTCCTGCCCCGGGGGCGAGAGGGGCCGCGGCTGAGACTCCGGTGTGGGGACAGACTGCCCTGTATCTGGCCTGGGGGTGGTTTCTGAGTTCGAATTTATACAGGTCCGCTGGGAAATTATTCAGAGAGTATCGGTTAAGAATGTGACTAGGACATACTGTTTGGAGTATGTTTCAGATACCACTGAAAGGCATAGAGAGAGAGAGAGAAAGTGGCATCTTTTCAGTTCTAAAGAATCGATACAGGGAAGAGTCCAGCCACACCTCAGCCCCACGCCTGGCCGCCTCCAAATGAGCTAAGACTGTCAGCATCACACACGACATCTCTATATTAGGACTCTAACCAGAATATATATATATATATGTAATAGCTGTAACCATATTATAGTTAATAAAGTCATTCCTTAGGAATCTTGTTTGTCCAAATCTAACTGCATGCTAAGAGGCACAGAAATGGGGCCGCATTTGGACGGAGAACTACGAAAGTGCAATCTTCAGTCTCCAGGATGCTGGCTCTGGGCACTCGGGGGGATCTCTCCTGGAAACGCTGCCACTCACTTTACCTTCCAGAGGAGACCCTAGGAGAGAAGTGTCCGATTTCTTTACCTTTACTACATGGGAGACTTTCAAGGTTTGAGTGATAAGTTGCTTTTTAAAAATCACTGGGATCTGGAGGCCAGTCAAACCTTTTCGGACAGAAGTCTCCTCAAAATATTTGTGTTAAAATCTCTGAAGAAGATGACTTCTTAGACCTTTGGCCTGACATTCTGGGATTCCCAGACTATGTTTGTTCTTTAATAAGCAAAGAATAATCTGCTCTCTTTAAAATTCTTCATAATATATACATCTTTAAAATCCTTTGCCTGAATTGCTGAGTCTTCCAACGCCTAGTTTCTCTTCCCAACAAGAGGGCAGAGCAAGACACCCAAGTCTGGGAGCAAGCTTGCAGGGTCACAGCCAAAGGACAACAGTCGTGTGCAGGTCTATGAGGTCGCTACTCACTGTAGTGAAAAACCAAAAGGAAATAAAGAGGGGGCTTTGGAGTTTTACACCAATAGGAAAGGATGTGCTGAATCATTTCTAACTAGCGTCCACAAGATTACCAATGCTTGCTCTCTAAAAATTCCATCTTGAGCTCTAGAGCCACCAGCAAGCCCTCAAGTTAAAAGTGAGTGCTCCTGTCTGGCTGCCTTTAGACAGCCCCGGAACGAGGGAATGTGGGGGCAGCCGACCCCTCCTGCTCCCAAACGGTCTGCCTCAGAGCTGTCCAATGCAGATCTGAGTGCTGGGGTGAGAGCTCCCCGGAGTGTGGGGCAGTACAGAGGGTAACCGGCTGGAAAAAACTCTAACTTGAGTGATCCCCCAAACCAGACATAAATCTTCCCTTAGACTCCATAGCGCTCTGGAAGGCAGCCAGGCCCTCCGAGTTTTGCACCATCATGTGTTTCTGTACTTCCTAATTTGGGCTGGGTCTGAAGAAGCTAGAAACCACACAGAAAACCAGGCTTCTCAATATTTCCAGAACAGTTTTACAGAACCAAAGCTTTGGGCAGGCCTTTAGGAGCTTCTCCTAATATAGTAAATATCAGGAGGTCTGACTGTCACTGACCAGCCAACCAAGTGACAAATCGTTCAGTCTCCAATTAAAATGCTTTAAGAGAGAGAGTGCCTATCTACACTTTGGCAAAGTCAAAAACCTAAGAAATGGCTCCAGATCCAGAGTCTCAACAAGAGCACCTAATACTTCAAAAACCAGGATCTAGGCCAGCAACCCGCCCTCATCTGCTCTCAAGTTTGCAAAGGGCTTTTTTGCTGCCTAACACGTGATCTGGGGGCCAAGTGTGAGCTGAAATCTCATTCTCTAGAGTTCTGAAAGTTTGGGGGGCGGTTGCTTATTTTTAAAGAAAAATAAACAAACACACTTTATTCTGCTCAGTATATTCTCTTGATTTACCAGCTGCACAAGCCACATGTTTATTCTTCTTGGAGAAGATCCACTACTAAATCAGAAGGAAGAACACATTCTTGTGATGGCCATGGCTGAGAGGCCAGTGGCAAAGATAACTTAACAAGGGCCCTTTTATGTTCTGTGTACAGCAACTTCATTCTAGGATCTAGTGTTTTAGGGGTATCTTTTAGCAGTGTGCTAGGAAAGGATTGTCATCACCTGTTTGACACATCACCTGTTTGACCCCTTTTTAGTGTAGAAGAAGCCTAAAAAGAAAACTAGGAGTTATAATGGAGACTACCATATGCCTTCCATGCTTAAAATAGATCAATAGAAAACAAGTAAACACGGACAAGTCACCAAAACACAGCAGCAAAAAGGCTTAGCACATGTTTCTTTCTGCAAAATGCAAGTTAATTTTCCTAGTGGGAGAGGACTACTCAAAGAAATCAGTGACCCCACTGGAGACGCCTGTGCTCACCGCCACTCAGGCTGCGGCCAAGCGCTCATGCTGACCCTCAGTGACTGCCTGCAAAGTCCAAATGATTGTCAAGTCACTTCTCCAACCATATCATTTCTGCTCTTCTTCTTCTTCTTCTTCTTTTTTTTTTTGTAAAAAATGGTAAGATAATAGGCTCTAAAACACAGCCTAAGCACCAATTATGATAAATGCATATTGGTAAAACGTGACTTCTGGCTTTAAAAGACATCTTTGACCTCTCTGGGGCTAAAGACTGCACCCATGTGAATAGTAGACTTCTAAAGAAACTCCATGTTGAAAGACCTAGAGGTTCTCCGCGAGGCACAGCACATGGCTGAGGCTGGATCATGCAATACTTCTACAGGAAGAGCACGAAGACTTATACGGACGAACATAGTGCACGTCACCATGAAGACCCTCGAGGTGTTAGGATTAAGACAAAAGAGTGCTCTAAAACACGCGCACGGGCCTGGTTTTGCCTGTCAAATGCCAGGGGGTTCGCGGGCTGCATGGAGGTTTTCCATCTGTGGGGTTCTGGCCCCGCCACTCTGAACCAGGGCCAGCAGAGCCTGAGGAATCTGGTTTGTGAGGGTGCATCCGCTCCCCGCAGCCCCTTCCTCCACCAGTCCAATGGCCTTTGATTAAAATTATTCTAAATACAATAATTTTCAGAGTGGTTCACAAGATTTTTACTGCCTGTTTTGTTGAAAATTCTGTCTTAAGTTCAAAAGGACATTTTTTTTGCCTTGAAACGTCTGAAGAACAAAACATCAGCCACGAAAAGCCACCTATTTCTCCACCTTATACTGCCGGCAGGGTACCATTACCTTTTCACTATGTAAGATCATCTGAACCTTTTACAAGTAGACCTTCTTGGCATATTTCAAATAATAAGGAGGAAATACTGGCTGTGTAGCAATAAATGAAGCAGAGCAGACGAAATGGCTCTGAGGGAGCCCGCCGCTGTTCTCGCAGAACGCACACTTGGAGGCCGAGGACTAACCCCGAAGGGGCCACACTCCTGCTCGTCAAGGCCAAGCAGCGCCCAAATGCCAGGGTGACGGAACATTCCGGCCGAGTCTCCCCTACACGTGAATTAGCCTGGAGCCATGAGTCACGACAGACCCAAGTCCGCGGTTTTTACATCTTCACTCTCCCCAAATTCTGGCATTGGCATTCTGAGCCTAGACTCTTTCAAAACAGGCTTTTACGTTTATGGAAATAGGCTCTTCTGCAGAGAAGTTCTTCTCCCACTCTGCTTCAGGGAAGAAGCCGCAGCACATGTAAACATGCGTGAGCGCGTGTGTGCTTGTGGGCGCTCGGAGTCCCTTCCTGTGTATAAATTGGAAGTAACAGCCAAATTCCTGCTCAAATAAAACCGCTAGTACTGGAAATTAAGTTTAAAAGATGAAACAAATAGGTCACAAAACATAATCAAACCGGTGGTGAACAGGAGATGATCCCAAATATAGCCATAAAAGCACAAATTTCACGCACTTGGAAAAGTAAAGATGGCTTTAAAACGAACTAAATAGAGAGAACTCACAAACCCACACCCAGCAGCCTAACGGAGCCTGTGGATGGCGAGCTGCGACGGACTCGGGATTGCCAGATGCTGCTCCTTCGGTGACTGTGCAATACTCTGGGCTTTCTTCCAGGGCTGTTGGCGTGGGACGCTAAGCAGGCCAGGCAGCAGTAGGCATGTGCTTTTTCATAGTTTTTCCTCTGCAAAGGGGCAATAATTCCTGGGTAAGGCAAGATAACTGTGGTCACGAGAGAAGCAGCCAAGTGCAGATCTGCTGAGCTAACAGAGGGAGCTCAGTCAGTCTTCCCCAGCTTTGCAATCAGCTCATCACAGATTTTTGTCAGTTCTTCAATTTCTTGGTTCTGAAAGACAAATGATGTGACAGTGTGGGTCGTTTGTGTCCTGAGATAAAGGTGGCTGTGACTAATAGTCCCAACACTGACTATCCTCTAACTCAGCGGCTCTGAACTTTTCTCCACCAGAGATCCTTTGAAGAATGGATAACTCTGCACCTGCTACCCTGGAAAATGCTCATGTCTTCACAGTTACACTTCAGTTGAGTTGGGGGTAAAGGCAGTCACTAGCCCTCTGCAGCTTGACCTTGAACCTCTTAGTTCTCAAATTTTCTTGTTACCATAGGAATTACCTTGGGTGCCTGTTAAAAACACAAGTATCTGGGCCTCATTCAATCCATTAGCATTTCCAGAGACCTGGGATTCTTGTGTCCTTGTATCCTGGAACACTTAGGGGTCATCTGACCCCAGGGTAAGAACCCTGTTCTAACTGATTGGAGATATAGGAAGAAAAACACTAGGGGCATACAAAAATTCACGTCCAAGAATCACTGAGTAACAAGAAACAGGGACCACTGTTACCACTGATTTTTATTTACCTACAGCAGTCACCCCCCCACGCACCAGTGGCGTTTGGGTTGGGTCAGTGTTTGCTGTGGGGCTGTCCTGTGCGTTGTGGGACGTTTGGAGCATTTGGGGGCTCTACCCATGAGGTGCCAGTAGCAGCTCCTACTTGTGACAACCAAATACACCTCTAGATGCCCCTGGAGGTAAAATTACAATGAAGGAGGAAGTTGGCTTCATACATTACTTAAAAAACAGAAAGAATTCCAAGAAGGGAGCCTCGGAGCCTGACTAAGCAGTGTCCGGTCCCGAACTTCAGGTGCTGTGGCCCCTCCCTGCGGCCTGCCTGTGGACAAGGCCCCTCCGGAATGCGGGTTTCACACGGGTGTGTCTGGGAGTTTCACGGTTTGCCTCGTCTTCCCCAGGGTCAGTTCACAAACGAGCTGGATAGAAGTGTCTGGGCAAAAAGGCAAGGCCTCTTTCACGCAGAGCCCCTGCAAGCCAGCCACACGGAAACCGGTCCCCGGTCGCACCACACCCTCTTCGTACCTTCTGCTGAAGGGCCCTTTCCAGGGACTCCACCTTCATCTGCTCCTTCCGGAGTCCCGCGTGGAGAGCCGCACTCTCCGCCTTTGCTTTTGTTCGAACCTGAGCAATCTCTTCATTGGCTCTGTTGACGGTGTTTGTAGAGCAAAGGGACAAAGAGCACGTGTTAGTCGTCAGTCTGGCCGAGGAGGCAGGAGAGTAACCACTGACGCCTGGGAAACACAGACCGAAAAGAACTGACCCGCGACAGGAGGGGAAAAGGAATCGGTGACCTGAACAATTCAATTTTAATTGATAAAAACTCAATTTACACACAACTGCTAAGGAAATTTCCAGAGTGTAAACCAAGGCCGGAATTTATCTCAAAGGCCACGATGGCCTTCAAAATTCACATGGCACTGGAAAATGGAATCGCATGACAGTTTCTACAACAATTAAAAAAGTGTTGTATTTTTTTTTAACCCAGTACAGTAGCAGACAGGACCATTTGGGGATCACCACAGCCACAGAGGCAGGACACTAACCACTGACACCTATGACACACAGTCCCAAAAGTGACTTCACTCGTGAGGAGCAAAAAGAAATTTTTAAAAACCCCATAAATGTCAGTTGGTAAATAGCCAATTAACTGATTAAAGGATACTAACAACTCACTAGTAATCAGGGACATGCAAATTAAAGTGATAAACTTTCAAAATCTGTCAGGCTGGGAAAAACGAACAAGGGCAATCTTGTCTGCGGTGTCTGGGATGCAAAGAAAGGCTCAGGCGCCGACTTTGCACAGAGCGACGCGTCAGCAGCCACTACAGTGGATACGTGCACACGCCGGAGCCAGCAGTTCCCTCTCAGCAACCCAGCCCCGCCCCGTCCCACCGCACAGCGCTGAGCGCACAAGGAGGGTCCCTGCAGCACTGTTTGCAATGGAGAAGTGTGAAAGTATGTAAATACCCGCCAAGAAGGAATGGACTGGACCCACGACCTAATAAAAACAATTAGATTATGCTGTGTATTCTGACTTGAAAAAATGGCCATGATGTGCTTATTAAGTGAAAAAGGAAACTCGGGTAGTATGTCCCATTATAATTTTTTAAAAAAGTGACGTCCTCCTAGTCTTTATTAAGACACACAATAAACTCCAACAGCAGTGCCTCTGTGAGTGAGGACGGGAAAGGGGGAACTTAAAAGGGTTTACAAATAGAAAGACAGCAAAATATGCAAGTATACTTTGTAGTGAAAAAATAAAGTGGCGTGCATCTTTCATACCACCCCCAGGAAAAATTCCAAATGTTGGATTTAAGGATTTAAAAAATTAAGCCATAAAATTACTAAAAGGAAAACAGGAAAGTATTTTATATTAAAGTATCTTAATACAGGAAAGTATTAAGATCTTCAGGGAAGATCTTTTTTACTATGATAGAAAATCTAGAAGCTGTAAAAAAAAGTAACTGATACATTTTAATACTTCAAAATAAATTTCTGTATATCAAAAAACACTACAGGCAAAGCCAAAAGATAAATGATATACTGAAAAATTATTCACAACTCATATCACAAAGCACTGTCATCCTTAAATATGTAAATAAACTGACAACAGAAAACCAGGTAAACAAGAGTCATTCATAGTAAAGCAAGTACATGAACAGAACGAAAATATGTTCAATTCCACTCATAAAATAAACATGAACCAAAACGACAATGAATAAAACAAATGCTCTGTTACTCGACAAAAAAAACCACAACACAATAACAAAAAAATGAACCAACTAAATTGAAGTACCACTTTTGTCTACTAGATTTGCAAGAAAACCAAAAATTCGATGTGTTGGCAAAGCTGTAAGGGGAAAAAAGACACTTTCATACATTGTATAGGAACATAAATTAACACAAGTCTGAGGAGGGCAATTGACAATATTCATCATAATTATATATTCATATACTCTTTGGCCCGGCAACTCCTTTTAAATCATACAGCTAACTCACATGCATGCCTAATGATAATCATAAAAGGCTGCTATTGCAGCACTGTTTGTAGCAGAAGATTTTAAATAACCTGAATATTCAACAGGAGGGCACGTTCCAGCAACGGAATGGTACCTCCCAACAATAGAAAGCCACGTGGCTGTTAGAAACAATAAGGAAGCTCTTCATGGATTGATAATAAAAAGGTTTCAAAATATACTGCTGAACGAAAACAGCAAGGTATGTATCGTCTGTATGAAAAAGGAGATTCTCGCCACATAAAAACACAGTAAATTATGTGACAAGACGGAGGTGTTGGCTAACACACCGTGATACAATATATAAATATCCCAAATCAACATACTGTGTGTCTCAAACTTATACAGTGTTATGTGTCAGTTATGACTTAATAAAGGGGGGGTGCGTAGAAAAAAGAAGGGGATAAAAATTTATCTGGGAAGATAAAACAGGAGAGAAAAGAGGTGGGAACCCAGTGATAGGGGGTTGGGGTAGAGGGAGATACTGTGTATCTTTTTAATCTTTTTAATGTTAGAACCATGGGAAGAGTCTACTTATTCAGAAAAGCAAACGACACACATACAAATGCCACCTGGAGTTGCAAAACCGTCATTTTGTCCTTGTCTGCAGCAATCTCACAATGTCACGAAAACTCAAATTCTTATGTGCAAGGTCTTACTTGTCTAGTTTTTCTTCTGCGTGGATTTTCAGAGCCTGATAGCGCTGTTCCTCTTGTTTAACTCTGGCCAAGTAATCCTGAGCACATTTCTTCAAGGCTTCTTCATTCTGTTCCAGAAGGACCATTTAAAAGAAAAGAAACAGGTCGTTTTGTTTTTCTGCTACTGGTGTATGTCACTTTTTTCAAAACTGAGAAAACCCAATTAATTCAGATGCCTTTATATAAATCTACCAAAGAACTTCTAAATAATTTCTTCAGCCCTGGCTGGTATTGCTCAGTGGATTGAGCCCTGGCCTGTGAACCAGAAGGTCACTGGTTCGATCCCCAGTCAGGGCACATACCTGGGTTGCAGGCCAGGTCCCCAGTTGGGGGTGTGGGAGAGATAAGCAATCAATGTAGCTCTTGCATATCAATGTTTCTCTCTCTCTCTACCTCCCTTCCTATCTCTATAAAATAAATAATAATTTTTTAAAGCCTTGAACAAATTATTTCTTCAGGTATTAATTTTCAAATCATACACCAAGGTTTAGTTACATTGGTACACCTACTTTAGGAAGGCAGTTATTCAAATCTGAATGGCAATCTGATTCCCATAGATAAATGGGCTAGTCTCATTTTTATTTTAATATAGAAAAAAGAATGGTTACTGCTATAAATGTCTCACTGATGATGTTCAACGAAATTAAATCAATATGCCCACTTACATCTAAATTGGAAACATTACTTTTCTCCAGAATACACAGACTGCATTTTTCAGTGCTGTATCTAGAATCCCTTTTACTTTTACTAATGTTAAAGTGGTGAACAATCAAAACGATAGTTCTAGACTTTTCCCAAAGTCTAATTTCTAGACTTCTCCTACAGTCTGAGGGTCCCGCAGTTCTTACACCCCATGCCGCACTCTGGCTGTGTCCAGGGCTTACGGGCCTGACTCAGGAGAGGAACGACTAAGACAAGCCACCCACTGGGCCAGATGCCTGAATAACCACAGAAAGAAAATGGGGGGATTCTCTAGACCAACAGGGGCCCCAAATCCCTACTTAGAAGACTACCCACACACCTCTGGCATATACATCTGAAGATACATTACCAAGAAAACACACTAGTGAGGAAATTCCAGAAGGAAAGGACACGCTACCTTCTTGAACCCTTCCAGAACACCTTTCAGGTTTTCGTATCTCCTGAAGAGATCAGAAAGGGACCTTTCCACAGAATTAAGGTCAGCCAGGGCCTGCTCCTTCTCCATGGTCAGTTGCTGGAAGCTTTTCTGAGAGGTCATGCTTGTCCTTTGTTCATCTTCTGTGAAGCGCAATCAAAAGCAATGGTATATTCAATCAACACACAGCTGGCACCTGCCTTCCGCGAGCTACTCAGTGGTGTCCTCGGTGGTGGGACCCAGCAGTGGACATAACTGAGTTCCCGCTCCCAAGGAGGGACATCGGAGTGGGGGAGGTATGTAGTGGCAAGTGATGGAGAAAACACAGCAGACCAAGGGGGGGGATTCCTCTTTTATACAGGACGGCCTCACTCAGGAGAGATCCGAGCTGAAAACCCCGAAGAACGAGGGCAGGAGCTCCCTGGGAGAAGAACATTCACGCAGAGGCGAACAGCTGTGGCAAAGGCCACGTGCTAGGAAGGCATCATGTGTGTGGACCACAGACAATAGCAGCTCGATGCTTGAGTGCAGAAAGAGCTGACTGATTTAGGGAGTCAGTCCTTCTAACACTGGCGAGAAGAGGCTCTAAATTCAGTGCAGGAGGACCTACCACTGTTGTTTGAAAAGGCCCCCACGGTTCCGATACAGGGAAGGTACAACTGGCAGTGGAGTAAGGACGCTGCACCACTGTTCCCAGCCAAGTGTGAACAAGGTGATGCGTTCTTGCCTCATACCGTAAACAAGGGTCCTTTTCAGTCTATTCAGTGCCCCATTTTTTGCATTTTTGTGCTTCCTGTAGGTGATTTTGCTACTTAAAACAGCCCCCAAGTGTAGCGCTGCAGTGCCGTCCAGTGCTCCCAACTGCAGCAAGACTGTGATGCGCCTCACAGGGAAATGTATTCCATAAGCCTTGCTCACCATGAGCCATAGTGCTGCTGGCCATCCATTCAATGCTAATGAATCAAAATACATCTCTGATAAGACGTCCTTACACAGAAATACACATAGGACAAGGTTATGTATTCACGAAAAAGGGTGGCAGCCGCTGGCTTGTGTAAAACCTAACCTGCATTTCCTCAGAAGCAACGGTTCCATGTCTGCGGTAACTTTATACAACACAACTACTACGAATAATGAGAATCGACTGTTCTTAAGTGATGGACAAATGGAAGTTTGTGTCCTGATTTTAAAATCAGCTGGAGACCCTATAATTCATATGCTAAAAGAAAAATTCCTTACCAATCATTTGAGCAATGGTCTTTTCATATTCAGCCACAATTTTCCTTAAAAATAAAAAAAATGTATTATCAGAAGAGTTTTTAGATGACAAAAGTTGGAGACACGCTTCCCCAATCAAATACACTGACATTTGGGGTGGGCCACAGCAGACGTATGGTTGTTCGCACGGAAAATAAAACTAAATAATAATACAAGAAACTCACATACTCACAACTGTTGAGTGACTTTTGTCCCCCCTGTGCACTGACGAATTTACACAACCCACTTCTCTGCTTTGAGCTCTCTCTCCCTTTTCTTTTACCTTAATGCAAGACTTGTTAATGTTCGAAAAGATTTACCTTACAATGTTACGTTTAACAAGCCTTCATTTTATCTGTAGAAACAAGTGCCTTCACCTTTGCTCTGCCCTGTGTGAACGACTTCAAGGCAGCAGACTGAGTTTGCTTAAACAAATCAACCTTCTACACAGTAAGTTACAGTAGTGCCCGTCATCTGCGGTTTTGCTTTTCAGTTTTGGTTACCCGCAGTCAACCACAGTCCAGAAATATTAAATGGAAAACTCCAGAAGCACACAATTCTCAGGTTTTAAATTCCGCACCAGTCGGGTAGTGTAATGAAACCATACACTGCCCGCTCAGTCCTGCCTGGTGTGTGAGGTGTCTGTGCCTGCCGTGTCCACACTGCGCACACTACCAGCCCACTTGTCACGTAGTGGCCACCTGGGCGATCAGACCGACTGCGCGGCATTGCAGCGCCAATGTTCAAGTCACCCTGTTCTACTGAGTAACGGCCCCACGGCATGAGAGCAGAGATGCTGACAATTCGGACGTGCCAGGGAGAAGCCGTCAAGTGAAGAGGTGACTACAGTACAATATGACATCTTGAGAGACTACATTCACATGACCTTTATTACAGCATATTGATATAACTGTTCTAGTTCATTATAGGTTATTGTTGTTAATCTCTCCTCGTGTCTAATATACACATTAAACTCTGTCGTAGGTATGTATGTACAGGAAACAGTACACGTCGGTGTCGGCACTGGGGGCCTCGCGGCACACTGGCAGCGTGTGGGGGGGACACGGCCCTGCCACTCTGGGGGCTCTTCCTTAGAGACCTAACTGGAGTTCCGGCTGCCTGGCCCCGATCTGCCCTTTCAGGCATCTGTTCCCTCTCACTCACTTACAAGCCTTCTTTTACTGTCGTAATCCCAAAAGTATTTCAAGAACTGAAAAGTATTTAAAGACTTTAAAGATCACCCTGTTGTGTAACCTTTCTTTTAGCGAAGTGCAATAATGTCGCCCTGACTCTGTCCACTGACAGCGCTCTTCCTGTGACCGCTCAGGGAGAAACTGTCCCCCGAGAGTGCCCGTCATGTGGACCCTGCACCCAGGTCTCTCACAGCGGGCCCTGTAATCTCTCCAAGGGCAGCAGCGGTCCCTTCCTCTCACCATCCCAGCGCGGGGCCTCATACCCAGTAAATGCTCAGAGAGAAACAAATAATGCAAGAGACACAAATCAGCTTGAACACACTGAAAATGTTTCTTAATCAGTCAAATGCTGACTGTACAGTGTATAAATTATTTATGTTTTTCCCCTCTTCTTTGGTGCCATCTTAATTATTATACAACTCCCAAGTCTGCTTTCTAGGGAGAGAGCAGCAAAAATAAAAAGATTTCAATTTAAAAATGTCAATCAATTCTGCTTCCTGTTAACATGCTTTCTAAAATCTATTTGGTGGTTATGAGATTTGAAGCTCCCATGTATAATTAGTTTGTAAAAAGTATTATGAATTGTAATGCCTCCATAATTGAATGTCAGTAAATCTCATTACTCTGTATTTCAAATGAATATTTTTGCACAAATCTGTCTTTTCAAAAGATAAGAATTATGTGAGTTCTGCCCACTTGTAATGTTCTGAACACTTCAAAGTAAACAGTATTTATATATAGTAACTGATCATCAGTGCTCATGAAATGATACTACCAATCACAAACTAAGGTGTAAACAGCAGAGCCCCAAGTTCTCAACAGCTGGTTCTGTGGTGAGCAAATACTTTCATCACTTCATCTGTATTACATTTAATAATGCATAAAGGTATCCAGCCCTTAGCCCAAACCTCCCGGCTCACCTCATCTCCAAGACTTCTTGCCGGGTTTCTTCGTACTTTTTCTTCCATTCATTTGCTTCAATCTCTTTCGTGATTATCTAGGTTATAACAGAGAGAAAGCTGGTCTTACCTACTCAATCCATGACAGTCTGAATTTAAGACCGGAGACTGAGACAACACACTGGTCCACCCAGGATATTCAATCCACATTGGGAACACAAAACCTCAACATCTATATAATGCTCATAAGCATTTGGAAAAATAACTCTTAGCCACACAGGGTGCTGGGAATGTAGCCACTCAGGCAAAAGTGAATGGAACATCTCCTGGGCAAATCCTGAGAGGTGATTAAAACCTCTGTAAATGTTACCACAGCCCAGGGTCTCTCCGCTCTGTAGGCCTGAAAACGGATCGGGACAGGACACCAAGAACAGAGCCACTTGGACAACAGAGACTCGCCGGAACCAAAGGAGGTCCCAGCGCACCAATTTTAGTTAGGGAGAGAAGTGAAACTGCCACAAAATCGGGGCATTGGAAGTTGGCATGACCAACGTATTCCCTTTCTATAGAGAGCTGCTTTGTAACTGCCTTGTAAGAATGGAGCCAGAAGAGAGGGTCGGAAGTTCAATGCCTCCAGCCAGCTGCACCCATCTCACTGGCTGCGGCAGGATCTTGTTAGCCAGTGCAGAACCCGTAGTTCTATGTGGAACCCGCAGGCTAAAGGGAAAGAAATTCCCTAAATTCACTGCCTCATACTCCATTTGTCCTGAACAGGGCTCCAATAGGCACCTGTTGTTCTTTTTAATTTTACTTTTCTGTGCTTCTCTCTTTCTCACTGGTATGTTTTCACTTTGGTACCTTTAATTAGGATCTCAAGATCCTAGAACCCAGCTTATGAGCTTTAGTGACTAAACACATCTGTGCTTTGATCCATTGGGGGTCATCTCATCATTTAACTCTCAGGAGAAAGATGAAGTCATTCTCATTTATAAGATTTTGGGGGGCCTTCTCACCACTGCTCCCAAGTTTTGACAATAGCATTAGCTGACATCCCTCATTACCAACCTAATGCTGTTTTTACTTTTAAATGTTTTATGATTATACTGTTACAGTTATCCCATTATTTTCTCCCTTTGTTCCCCTCTGCACTGTACCCCCTCCCACCATCATTCCCCCACCTTAGTTCATGTCCAAGGGTCGTACATATAAGTTCTTTGGCTTCTCCATTTCCTACACTATTATTAACCTCCCCTTGTCTATTTTTTACCAACAATTTATGCTTCTTATTCCTGTACCTTCCCTCCCATTCTCACCCCTCCCCCTCCCTACTGACAACCCTCCATGTGATCTCCATTTCTGTGATTCTGTTCCTGTTCTAGTTGTTTGCTTAGTTTTGCTTTTGTTTTTTGAGGTTTGCCAACCTAATGCTCTTTTATCACAGGCACTTAACTACTCTCATCATGTTATAAAAATAAAACTGCTCCACCTTCTTTACAAAAAGGTGGAGTCAGCAAATAATACATGAACCAACACATGAAATACAGCACAGAAATATAACCAAGGAGAGTGGTGACTGATCACCAGTACACCACAGTGTCTTTCATATTTTTCAGGTCACCAAGAAGAGGCCTAGCAGTGATTTATTTTGAACAAAGGTTGTCAGGAAACATGATAAAGGCACCTGAGAGCTGAATTAAAGAATGGATGAAGGGGAAAAACAATTTTATATTACTGGAAGTCTAGAATTTAAGGCATTTTTATGTATAAGCACATATCCTCTATAAAATGAAGGCATTGATTTAGATACATATGTGGATAAAGTGGGGAAAATTTGACATATAAAATTTCAAAGCTAAGTACAGAAGAGTACAAAACTGTAGTTTTTTCCCTGGACACCGCAATGTCAGGACCCAGCAGCAACGTGGCCTTTCCAGGGAACCCTTTATATGAGCTACACAGGCTGCAGGAAACATGAACGTCCAGCCCGGGGTAACTCGGGCCAACAGAGATGGAATCTGCCCGCTGGCACGAGGTCTGCACAAAGAAACGGAGTGGTAAGTGGACGGAACAAGAAAGCCCTCACCTCTTCCCTTATCAGGGTGAGCACGGCTGTCTTATCGGACTCACTGAGGCAGATGCTGCCCAGGGGGCTCTCGGCGCCACAGGCCACGGACACCGGGGCCTTCTCCGTTGGGGACTCCAACAGTCCCTGAGGGGGGAAGAGGCGACATTTAACGCATTTAATCTTTAGCTTCTTGATCCAACATATTTCAATAATTCCCTCATTACTACATTCATCACAATCTTTAAAAACATGTAAAAAAAAAAAAACAAAGCCCCAGCAGGATTAAAAAAGTAAAATAGAATCTCTTACAAGGCTATCTGAAAGAAAAACCTGTTCTAATGATTATCAATGGCATCCCAGCTTGTTTAACAGCCTAGAGAAGTTTGCTTCTTCTCCAAAAAAAAAAGAGTATAATCATCATAGTGCTCAGTCACCAAAGAATTACATGCGAAAGAGAAAACTATACGTGGTTAATGGCTGATGATATTTCACGAGGTTTCTGGGGATGACTTTTTTTTACATATTGATGATTTTGGTGTCTGTGTAGTCACTTCAGATGGAAATGTTTCTAAAATATATGACTAACTGTCAGGCCTAAGAAAGTGGAAATGCTGCCTGTGTCTGGCCTGCCCCCGCCCGGGACCGTGGGACCTGCCAGCGCTCGGCAGTGATGGTGCGGCCGCTCAGCGACGCGGTCAGGTGCGCACCCCTGTTTGCTCCTGACAAAGTGGCCGCGTGGACGTGGGGATCTCTGCTCGCACTCCCAGTTTCGGTTCGTCCGTGCTGTTAAGTTTTCAGTTCGCTCTGGCAGCACCTCACTTCGTGATGCGCCAGCTTGCTTTTATCACAAACTCAGGCTCTGGGAAGCCGCATTTCGATAGCATTTTATTTTTCACAAGAATATAGATGGCGTACTATTTTCCTTCCTAGAAGGCATTTTTGGTCTACTTCCCCCTTACCTATATACAAGTAAACTTTTTGCATAAAGGAGAAAAAAGCTCACTGAATAGCACCAAAAAAAAAGCCAGCTAAAATGGCCTAAGAATGATCTTAAATGTCACTATAACTAACTGGTCACCTCATTACTGATCATAACCAGTCAGTTCTCTGGTATCTGCTTTGAACCTAGACTGAACATAAAAGCCAAGGTTCACTTAGACCAGTGGTTTTTAAACTTTTCAGGGTCTTTATAGATCCGCCCCCTCTCTAGAAAGTACTCAAACACACACAACTGTACACACAACTGCACACACAGCTTCACAGGCCTCACCCACCACAGCAACTCTGGGCTCGGGACACAAGAGGGGAGCGCAGAGCCACATGGTCAGGGTCCACTTCCAGCAGCACGTGGGGCAGCGCAGCCCCTGTGCTGACAAGTCCAAGGTCCGCTCAGAAACACTCTCTGTCTTGGGGAAGACCTATTGGTACAGCCAGAGGCCGTGGTGGGAAGCCTCTCCTGGCCCCAGTGAGCCGAGTGCTGGTACTAATCCTCTGTGCAATCTCCTCCCCTGCGTGCAGGCTGCCCCCGAGGACTCACTCCAAAGGACAGAATATGGTAAAAGTCAAAGACTGTCACATCTAAGATAAGTTTAAAAGAGACTCAGGCTTCTACATGGTGAGAAGCTCCATGGAAAGGTCCATGTGGCAAGGAACTGAGGGCGCTGTCAACAGCCAGTGAGGACCTGAGTTGCCACATGAGCGAGTCTGGAGGTGACCGCAGCCCTGGTCAGCAGCACCCTGACTGTAGCCTATGAGAGACCCTGAGTCGCAAGCACCCTGCAAAGCTGACCAAGATTCCCGATTCAGAAATGATGGCATAATAAATTTTGTTGTGGATAATTGATACTGGACATCTGGCTATTCCATTAACTTCCTGTGCTGCGTTTACCATCAAGAGGCTTTTTCATAATCTTTCTTCCCATGTAACTTGTGTACAGGAAGATAATGCACTAAACTGAGCTAACAGATTTGTTTCATTCTGCTGTTACATCTCTGATTCTAAATGAATACATTTTAAAGTCCTTCTTTTGTGAGTGTTTATGACTCTAAGCTAGACCCAGCAACTCCACTGACCTCTGGGAACCAGCCCCCTGTGCCTCCTCTGACCCGCACATTGGGGGGGACATTTGCTCTGGAGTTCAGCATCTCACTCGTGTGTTGAGGGTCTGACTGCTTGTTTGCAAGGTTACAAGCATGGTGTCTGAGGGAGGCAGCATTCTGACTTGGAGGTACCAGATTAGACCTCAGAGGGTGGCAAACATTTCCAGATGAGTGGGCTGTGCAGCCTGCAGTTCCCCCTGGGTCACTCCCCTCCACCTGGCCACATGCCAGGAACCCCATGGCTCAAAATGCAAGAGTTCTTATGAGATAAGGGCAGGAATTAATGCCATGGCCTATTTCAGCCACCTCTTCCAATCCCCTAGGATTTAACTTTTTATATTCCTCAGTCCTTTACATTACTTATCAAAAGTACAAAAAAACCTTCAGAATGTACTGTCACAAAGCACCGGCCTGACCATCTCTTCCTGGGCTAGGTAATCTGGTATGTGTTTAACAAAGATGCTAAATCAGCGCTGGCTGGTGTGGCTCAGTGGATTGAGTGCTCGGTCTACAGGCCGAGGGGTCACCGGTTTGATTTCCAGTCAGGGAATGTGCCAGGGTTGCCAGCCGAGTTCCTAGAAGGGTGTTCACGAGAGGCAACCACACATTGATATTTCCCTCTCTCCCTCCCTTCTCCTCTCTCTAAAAATAAATAAAATCTAAATTGTTAGATCAATCAATCATGTCCCTCCACAGGTCCCCTAACACTTTTCCTGGTCCCGCAAAGCACGAACCAACAAAGACGTCTCCTCTGTCCACAGTGGGAATCCATGGAGTCCTAGTGCAAGTTTACACTGAGCACAGGTGCCACTAAGTAATTCTTGCTCACGTCCTTGCAGTGGAATAACCGGCATCACTCAGTGTGCTCACCCCGTCACCTGTCCCTGCCCCACCGGAGCAGGGCCACACCGCCACTTTTCTAACAGAGACAGACTTGGAAAAGCCCGACAAACTCAACTTTTAACAAGTTTAAGGCTTCCTTAAAAAACAGACTCCTAAGTAAAAGATGCTGCAGAAGAACAGCTGAGAAGCCAGATGGGGGGCTTGACGCCCACTCACCTGCCCAGGCCACCACCCGTGTTGGGCATGAGACTGCAAAAGGAATGTGCTTCAAAGCAACCCAGAGAGGCTTCAACTCCAGACCGGACCTGGGAGGAGGTCAGCGTAGCTTCCACTTACTCCTCCGCCATCTTGGATCTCCAAGAGGCTTTAAAAACTAAATGCTAGGTGAAACAGATTTCTTTACTCGATGTTTTGAATATTGCAATTTCTTTATGCAACACTTCCTCAACATTCTAAGGAAACAGAGATTAATTTATTTCAGGAAGTTCAACTGGGGTTACTTGTAAAAGATCACAACATGTCGTATGTTCCTCACCACCTGGCTCTAGAGACAAGTGTTCTCCATTTTTCTTCTTCATTCTCCCACCCTTGTTCCATCAACATCACACCGCCTTACACTGCCCTTGCACTTTACCACTTCAATCTTTCACGCTGTCATTTCGTCTTACGCTCACACCGCTCTGATGAGGCATACAGATGCTGCTGCTAATATTGTATTATGGACGAATAAGCTGGGAACCCAAAAGTTTAACCAATTTATTTCAAGACTGGGACTAACTAACTGCCTGAATCTGCAGCCACACACAACAGTGCTTGGTCCACTCAATGCATCCTTCTTCAGTCATCCTTTTGCTACTTTTTACACTGAAAATATTCCAAAGGATTCTCATAGCACTTGGAAAACCTGAAAAGGAACTGGTTTCCCCAGGTGCTCAACCAGGCTGCTCTGCTGGTGCAGCGCGGAGTCCCACCGGCTCATTGAGGGGAAGGAAGGCCATCCCTCCCTCTGACAGGTGAGGAAACCTGGGTATTAGCCCGTGTGTGGCTGCACTAGGATTAGATGGCCTAGCTCCCAAAATGCTGAGGATCAAATGAGTTTCCAAGCAAAAGTGATTTTGTCCAGAAACAAATGTCACGAATGTGTAAAGCCCTTGTTAGAGGACAATGCTGCCTAGTCCCTATGTGCTATGAGCAGATCTTCCTTCAGCTCCTCCTCCCACAGGCTCCTCCCCCACTCGTCCCCCTTCACCTCTGCTCACTCTACCCCCGCAGGCTCCTCCCCCACTCGTCCCCCCTCACCTTTGCTCACTCTACCCCCGCAGGCTCCTCCCCCACTTGTCCACCCTCACCTCTGCTCACTCTACCCCCGCAGGCTCCTCCCCCACATGTCCACCTACACATTTGCACGCTCTACCTCCTTTAGGGAAATACCAGGGTCACTGCACAATAGTGAGTCTCAAAAACATCCCACAAAACTGACCACTACTCTTCAAAAGTGTCAAGGTCAGGAAGGACAAAGAAAGACTATAGTTGTGACAGGCTAATGGAGACTAAGGAGATGAGAATGAAAACCAGTAGCGGATCCCGAACCACAAAGAGACATTCCTGGGACAACTGGTAAAATGTGCGGACGGTTTATGGATTGGATGGCACTGTATCGGTGTTCGCTGATTTTGATAACTGTGCTGAGAATATAAACTGTGAACATCTGAGTACGGGTGCAAGATATACAGTTACTCTTTGTACTATTTTTGTAAGTCTAAAACTTGAAAAAAATTTTTTTGTTTTTCTTTGCCTCAGACTCAGCCTTCCTGACACCTGCCGGGAGCCCTGGCTGCCCCGGCCCCAGGCACACGCCATTCTACTGTGACACCCAGCACAGGTACACCTGTGCATTTTGTGCCTACTGCCAGCGCTATTCAAAAGAAATACAATGAAGCTACATGCAGCTAAAAATTCTCAGGAGCCACATTTAAAAAGTAAAAACAAACAGATGAGATTAATAATACAGTTCAGTTAGCCCAATACATCCAAAATATCATCTCAACATATAATCAATATAAAGTTAAAGACATTTTATTTCCCTTCTGTTTGCACTACATTGTCAAAAACTGGTTGTGTTTTATTTACACTTACACAACACCTCAGTTCCAACTAGCTACAGTCCATGTGCTAAGTAGCAGAGGCAGCTAGCAGCGTGCTGGCTGGAAATCTTGAGATAGACTATGAGATGCTCAAGTGAAGAAGTCGTGATTTATTTATGTTTCATTCCCATCACCAAACACGGATTAGAATTTATTTAAAGATTAACACAGGTTTCAGAACAAATGCTGAAAACACCGCTCCTCACACCCGCCCCTCCCATGTTTAGGAACTTACAGGCACAGCAGACCCATCTTTCTCCATCTTCTGGCACGGCTCTTTTTCTACGCCTAGAACACAGAGAGTCATTTCTGCAGTTACCCAAGGAGTCAGTTCCTTTCCCTCCTAGTGAAAGACACTTGGAAACTCCCACACAGCCCAGAGCAACATCTGTGAACACGTGCACCACATGTCAAGCTTTTCGAAGGAGCACTGGCGCTCTGTTGACTGCTGTGTTGTCCGTGTTAAGAGTCCAAAATATTAAGAAGGATGAGTGCACAGTTAGCTACAAAGAAATGCACAGCCTTCAGTTGGAAAGAACAGCAAGGCTGCCCCCTTGTGTCCATGTACTAACAACGGGATTATGTCAGAAAGAGGAACCTGAGCCAAAGGCTGTTCTTATTACCAAGTCTCAGTGAATCTAAACTCCAGCTCAAAAGGGCAGTCTCATTAGTGTAGCAGTAGCAGATAAGACAATACCTTCCAAATGCAATGCCCACAAAACTAAATGCACTCTCTACCTCCTACTCTCCCACCAGAGGCAACATTTAAAAAATCCAACACTACGCTTTTTCTAATTAAAGAAATATGCTCTCACTGAAGACAATTTTAAAATGTGGAAAAGCACATAAAAATTTAAAGACTACAATCTCCTACAGAGCCGTAATGAGTTACTATTTTAGCATACAATCTGTCAACAATGAATTATTTTTAAAACACAAACGAATTATTTTTAAAAAAACAATGAACTATTTTTAAAACCCTCTACTTAAAAACCCTTCAATGGCCCTGGCTAGTGTAGCTCAGTAGATTGAATGTCAGCCTCAAAACCAAAGGGTTGCTGGTTCGATTCCCAGTCAGGGCACATGCCTGGGTTGCAGGCCAGGGCACCAGTAGAGGGTGCTCGAGAGGCAACCACACATTGATGTTTCTCTCCCTCTCTTTCTCCTTCCCTTCCCCTCTCTCTAAAAAATAAATAAATCTAAAAAAAACCAACCTTTGAGGCTCCCCTATACCCATAGGATCAAGCCCAGTTCCTCAGTACCCTTCATTTTCCTGCACACCTGGTGCTCGCAGAGAGAGATACTGGGCATTTTTTACCCCCATGCTGGTCTTTCCCATGGCTGAGAGAGAGTCTCGTTTTCTGGTACACATCTATGCCTGTATCTATCAAGACCTACCTCAAGGGTGACTTTCCCCAGGAAATGTTCTCTGATTCCCCTCACAGCACCAGTACGTCCGTCCACCTCCACCCCTCACCTGCACAACCACAGCCTCTGCTTGACCCCTTGACATGGCTGATCAGTCCCACAGTGACACACCACCGACCAGAATCCCGCTCCCTACATTTCTGCTGAAGGGCTTTCCTCTGAGTGAGGAAGAACATAATTCAACAAACATCTACAGTGCACCTGCACCCAAGGAAATTCAGAGATGAATCACTCCTAGTCCTTAACCTTTAGAAGCTTGTCGAAGACACCCTTCTGTAGTTCACAACAGAAAACGGGAACGGAAAGGAGAGATGCGTTGGGAGCATGAAGCGTGGTAGGAGCCAAGTGACATTTCTGAATCAGACCCAAGAGGACAGGCAGAATTTTTATAGGGGATGGCAAAGAAAGGTACATCAAGTAAAAGAAGTAAGTATAGCCTGCACACCCAGACAAGAGGGTATAAAGGGAAATGGCGAATGAGATCTTGGGAAAGAAGTCGGAGCAGAACGAGGCCTGGAAAGAAATCTGAACAGTGTCGGGCACACTGATTTTGTAGCTAAAACACCGAGACCTGAAGGCACGGGGGAGATGGGAAAATAACTCACAAAGTTCCAATTTTCACCTGCTTCCCTAATTTGATGATGGATCATGATTTCTTGAATTCTAAGTATAAAAGCCCCAAATTAAATTACATTGTAGAAGATCTCTTTCTAATAATGTTTAATGTAGTCAGGATGGTGGTTCTAAATATTTCACAAGTCAAGTTTAAGGCCATAGATGTAACTTGGGACCTAAAAAGATAGCCTCAGCCCTACGATGTTCTAATAGTCCAACAGCAAGAAGCTTCAGCACAGGTTAGTTGATCTAGGTTTGCTCTTATTTGACCATCAGGAAGGATTTTATAGGCCACTGGTCAATTTCAGTCGATCACACCTCTGAGCAGGAAAATCTACAACAGTCTAACGTGACAAAAAATCACCTCTTCACACTGTAGCACTGCGGCTAAAGGATCATGGAACCCACTGCTGAGGTCGGAACCCCAGCTGTACCATTTCCTAACCATTTACAGGTGACCTTGGCCCAGTTATCTGTGTCTCACTTTCCTCTCTGAAAAGTGGGGAAAATAATGCTTAGCAAGGAGTGATGAGTCAATACATGTAATGAACTCAGAACAATGCTTGCACATGGCAAGGAGTTACACGTGTTAGTTATTATTATTTGGGTTCAATTGAATAAGGAGCACAATAATCACAACATGGTTACAGGCCACTACACATTGAGATGTGGCTGCACTAAAATAAACAGTAAAAAATGTCAAGTAGTCCCACACATTAGTGTCTCCTGTACATCCTCCACACTTATCCTCACGTCCCTGGTGTTTCATAAGATACCCCTCTGCATCTCTTTTCTAGATAAAGAAGCAAAGTATAGATCAGCATCCTAAATCCATCCCGCCGGTGATCCAGTTCTCTAATCTCTCTAAGGTGTCTCCACCTGTAGGCTTTCAGGCATTTCTACGCTTACGTACATTAGAAAGATGAAGATAGGCTTCCGTACCTGCTTCTGAGGATGAAAACGCATGATTTATGGTAGACACAGGAACATTGGAACATTCAAAGTACTCCAGGTCTTCCTCTGGCTCACCTTTCACCTCGGCCCCAGCTGCCTTCTGACCGGAGGAAGTAGATGCCAGTTTCTCCTCATCGGTAGCATGGCCATCCCTACTAGAAATGTCTGAAATCTGGGAGATCACTGCCCCTTCATCCTGGGAAACAGAACAGAGAAGAGGCCACCATTTAGGGGGACAAAGCAGGGGCAAGGGGGCAGACACCTCGGAGCAGACACTATTCTATATACACGCTTGATAAGAATTAACCACAGATGTGAGTACAAATCAAGGAAGCAGCTGGAGTTTCTCGATCTCAAAATGTTGTATTTTCTAGAATCTAGTTGAATATGTGATTCAAATCTGAAGCTTGACAAATTACTTCTTCTGGTCTAAATTTATAAGTAAGAAGTTTAAGTGGTCCGAGGCAGTGCTTTTCCAAATATACCTCCTAATTTAAAAGAACATCTACTTACCACATTGTATTTTCAGGTGACATCCAAAAAACTTTTTAGCATAAGTTTAAATAACTGCAAAGGATGTAATATCTGGTATCGCTGACCTTGCTTAATTCAACGTAGTTATTCTAATGATTTGATATCCTACAATATATTTAAACTCGGACATGAACAAGCTCTTTAACAGTCAGAAATTCATCCCTTTTCCTCTCTGGGTTGGTATTGCCAGTCTACTTCCATCAACTCAGGCGCTCCTATCTCGTTGAAAGTGATGAGTGAAAAACTATCTGACTTTACAAAAAACATTATCCAGTCACTGGAGCCAAACGTCTCCTTAAAACCTACATCAATATTTCAAATCTCTCCCTGGTTTGGTGGCCCAGAGATTTCACATCCAATGGTAATGCACCTTAAAACGATTTAGAATAGGTGAGAGGGAACTTTGAAAAGAAAAGGGGGGGGTGGAGAATGGTTATGGTGAAAAGGTTCCTTTGTCCTGAGGGGCCTTTTCAGATCAGTTTAGGAAGTTGGCTTTCTTTTCTTTAAGATCTTATTTATTTATTTTTAGAGAGGAGAAGGGAGAAGGACAGAGAACAAAACATGGATCAGCTGCTTCTCTCAGGCCCCCAACTGGGGACCTGGCCAAGAATCGAACTAATGACCTTTCACTTGGCAGGCCGGTGCTCAAAATCCACTGAGCCACACCAGCCAGGGCAGAAACTGGTTTTCTTAAAGCTGAGTACTCCAATATCTAGAGGGAAGTCTTCACTAACCACCGCCCCTCCTGGGCTGGGAATGCAATTGCCAGTTTGGAGACCACTGGTTTAAGAGGCGTTCTGGTCATTGACAGACTTACCTGAGAACATCCATCCAAATCAAGAGACTGTGTTTCGTATTTCTTCACCTTACAGCCACTCCTGGAAGGAAAACAAAACCAAGGCTGGTTTGGAATCTCACTGACCACTTCCACGCTATGAGATGGAGCAGAGATAGCAGTGTGAGCAGCTGGAAGCCAAGGCATAGAGCGCCACACAAGTCAAACATCTACACGTCAGAGATAAGGGCGCCTTTTATATCTCTGCATCTTCTCTCAAGAGACAGGACAAGCAAAGAACTAGAGTTCATTTTCTGAAAATACTTCCCCATGAGCATCTGTAGGACGTTAAACACCAGTTCTATGACCACCAGTTTTCAGCTGCACACCATCAGAAGCCGTTCAGGGAGCAGCCTCGGCCCCTGGAGACACTCAGTTCCCTAGATCCTCACCCGCTCGGGCTTGGACGTTCGTTAGAAAAATGACCACGCTCGACCAGATTCCGTAAAAATTCTTTATTGCCCTAAAAGCCATAAAAGTCGGATAAGACAGCTCCAGACCTGTGTGCTAACAGAGTTGAACTGTGGTCAATGGAAAGTATAAAAAGAAAAATATCTGTGTAAACTGTCACCATTCCTACCAGGTAGTAAGATAGAAAGGAATGTCATGGCCGGAACTAGAGAAAACTCAAACCACATGTTATTTTTAAACTAGCACATAACTTGTGATCCAAAGCCTAGTTCAAATTTTGTTTGAATGAACTTAGAATTTTCAGTAATGTTACTCTGACAAAATAATAATAATAATAGTAATAATAATAATTTGCAATTTTTTATTCTTGTGTGGGGCAAAAAAGGCAAGCATATATGCTACCAAAATGTGCGCAATCACTATCTGTTTCATGATTTTTCTTTCCTAAAGCTGAGTGCCATCCCACAACCAAACTCAAGTCAGTCCATAAAGACCCCAATCATAGTATGATGTCTCCCTTTTCCCCCCACTCCAACCCAGCAGCCTTCTCCTATCAAAAAAGCCAGTTATTCCCAGCATGAAATAGCAGAAGAGCAGTCCCTGAAACCACTGCTGGAAGGGAGCCAAGCCAGCACCGGGCATCAGAGCGCCACGCCAGGCGTGCCAAGGCAGGGAGCACAAGCTCTCGCACCCGAGGTGGGAAGGCCCACCTCCACTCCTTCAGGTACAGACAATTGCAAGGCTAAGCTGACTCATGAAGTGGCAAATGAAATGCAAAAAATAACCCGAAGGTCCAACTCAGAAACGGAAGCCAACATGCTATGCAGGGATGGGCTGGGGAGAGTGGGGGCAGAACTGTAAGGGTCCCAGGGACAAACAAACAGCAGGAGTACTTACAACAGAAAACAGAGAAATTTCACTTGTTCAGTAGTCCTGATGCACCAACAAAATCAGAGACAGGGAAGAGACAGACAGATGGAGAAAAAAATCATGTAAAGCCTGGAATATTTATCTCTAGTCTGGTAGATGTAAAGGCTGAGAAGTTCTTTCTATGAGGTGAGATACAATCAAAAATTTCATAATCATGAATGTATCACTGGTGAGTGAATGATTCGCAGGAACCTCAACTCTAACAGTAAGGGCAATAGAAACATTCAGAAATGCCATATATTCACCCCTGTAGATGAAAAAGTAAATGACTTCACTACTGAACACATTTACTCTGAAACATTTATAGTGGTCCAGACTATGGCGATGCATAAATAAAAATGTAGTTGGAAATGTCTGCTTATATTGACTGTGGGTATGTGTCACTAAAATACCTAAAATGATTTCACATAATTTATCTTATCTGGCCCACAAAAACCCCAATTATAGTATGATGTCTCCATTTGACAAAAGAAGAATCTGACACACCAGTTGCAAGTCTTTTAAAAAGTCACACAAGTGGCTGGTTAACAGACCTTCTAACTCCCCATGAGAGTCTACCATCATACTTACATTTTTAGTCTTACGTACCAATGAAGCTAAACAAAATCTGAGTTACACAGAGGTCAATCTCCCTTCTCAGAGACAAGAGTTCTGACTGCACTGAGTCTTAAAAGAATCTGTATGGATCAAGAAGTCCATTCACCAAAAACAGAACAGGAGAAACATGCTACCAGGTGAGGGTGGTAGGACTCAAGATAGGGTGCGCTTCTTGCTACTGAAATAAGACGTGGGATACATTCCCCACACTTCAGCCCAGATTTAATCTTATCTAACATGAATGCACTGGCTACTGGCCTTCAACATGTAACAGAGGAGGGCTCCCAAGTGACTGATCAACCTTGCTGGGCAGAAGTGCCCTGTGCGTAGGCCACTCCATAGCAGGAAGCACCAAGCAATGCCCTGGACAACACACTGTCTCAGACAACAGTAACGCCTTCACCACCAAAGAGCACTTTGAAGACACCTGATCGATCATATTTTTCAGCAACCATTTAACTGCCTACACATAGTCAAGGAACAGATCAACAACTGCCAATGCCATCTTACTCCCCTAGACATTGTGAAGTTGCCGCAGGACTGATGCCTACATTGCTCAAGCATCTTGGTCCTGATCGGTACTCTCTATTCTTCATACCCTTCCCTTTGGTGTAACTCACCACGCCACCCAGAATTTTTCTTGAAGTCACAGTAATGCTAAAAATTATTTCCATACTGATCTACGGTGACAACTACAACTGTGATACTTCTTTTCATCCCTCTTTTCATATTTCACCCTCTATGCCACCGTTCTTTATATCTTAGCAAAATGTCACAGGGTCACAAAGGGGTATATTGCCATCACTCAAGTGTTGGGATAAGGTAATCCTGCATAAATTTAAGCTGAAACTTCACGGGGACTATGGCCTGATGTCATCACTCTGAGAACTCCAAGAACCTTGTAAGAGCAGCTCCAGCCAGGGGTCAGGTGCACAGAGATGTCACAACATGCAACCAAGGACTAATTGAGTCAGATTTTTGTCATCGTTTAAAATATTCTTGATCCTCATTGGAAATTCACCTCCTTGCTGATGGAACCAAAAACTAAAGCATAAAGACATAAGAATTCTCACCAACTTTCAGCAGTCTTCTGTTTTAAGTGAAAAACTTCTATGAGTCCCTTTGGACCATTTTCTACAAGCCCTTGCTACGAGGCAGGAAATCTGTAAGCTTGGAATTTTTGTTTTGTCCATAGAGAATATGAAGGTGGTGGCTAACATGACATGTGAATTCTACATAAAGCGATTCCTGACAGCCCAAACAGGGTTTCTGAAAACCATCAAATCTCTACCTGCCTATCTTGTGCCATTTTTTAAAAAACAGGAAAAAAGTACCCAAGGTAGATGGTGAGGGGGCGTGGGGTGGGGAAAGAGCTTGGCTGAATAGGCTGAGGATTCAGAAACCAGGCAGACATGTAAAAAGGAAACCTCTGGGATTCCTGATTTCACGCAAGTTGGCTTCAAAACGGGAGACTGCAATATACGGTTGTAAACTTTGTGTCTGCCCAGCTGCACCTCAAAGATAACTTCAATTCACCAAAACCCAAAGCGGCGGGCTGCTAAACGCTCAGTGCGTACACAGAACACAACACCCACACCCGTCGTCACTCACGTTATTAAACGCGACTTTGCCTTCTTGGGTGATTCTAAGATTTCATTAACATGATTACCAGCAGGAGAACAAAAGTCACTGTTTGTTAACGCTGTAGTTGGTTTAAAGGGATCCATGCATTCCTCAAAATGGTAGGAGCCCTTAGAGGAGAGGGGAGGGCAGCTCTGCAGTGTGGACTGGCCCCCAAAGGGACTGGCGCTGGGGCGATCACACTGACTGGGGTCAAGCTTGGAAGATGCTTGGGAGAGAGGAGCATCGTCCGCAGGTGGCTCCGGAGGCGGTTCTGCACTTCTGGGGCCCGCTGGCTTACTGACGCCTTCTTTCTGTACCTTGGGAGTCAGTTTGTTACTCAGTTTCCTGCCAACTTTTCGTGGAAGACCTTTCCTGGACTCCACATTTTCCACATCTTCTGTGAAATCAAACTCGAGCTTCAGAGGGGAGCTCCTTGGCTCCTCCAGCAGCTCAACCCCGGAGTCATTGGTGTCACTACTGGGAGTGCTGCTAGATGTCTCCTGGACATCGGGGGCAGGGTTAGGGATCCTGACGTCCCCTAGCAAAGGATTTGTGTTCCCGTCCATTTCGTCAGTGTCAGACACTGGGGGGAGAGGCATGCCCTGCACAGAAGTTTCTGTTTCTGAAGACTCTCCAGCTGCTTTCCTCCTCAGAGAGACGGGCTTGGGCTTTCTTAGCTTGCTTCTGCTGCGCACTGGCTCCAGACAGGCATTCACACTCTGGGGGTCAGCTTCTGTGGGAGCCTCCAGCATGACCCCCATGGTGTTTTCCGTCATCGCCTCCTCCTGGATGGCTTCTGGCGGGCTGGAGGGCAGAGCCTGGCCTGAGACAGCAGTCATACGGCCATAGGCCGCTTCTGTTCCTAGAGCCACCGAGATGTCCGTGGAATTCTTGATTTCTACGGAAAAGGGCCTCACTACTGAAACTTTGCTACTATCATGTTCAGGTTCTTCTCTGAAAGCCTTGACTGAGTAAGAATCAATAGCTTGCGGTGACACCTCATTTTCTGAGCATCTAGAACAAGTCTCAGATGAACGGTTTTCAACCACTTCTGCTATCAGCTGTTCATCAACTTCTTGTGAGTCTAAAAGAAAACACAAAAGCCACCTATTAAAGAATTATCTTTTTGGCATTGGTAAATATGCTCCACTTGCTAACCCCACACAGACAAACAGTAGGCTATTCCCTCTTCGCTTTTCTTAAGCATCTTTAAGGGCAGGCAAGTATGGCAGTGCAGCCTCGAAAGGAAGAGCTGATGCTACAGCCGAAAATGAACTTCCCCATTCCCCACAGCATATGTGTATTATCCAAGTTATACAAATAATAATTATACCAAACAGAGCTACTTAGGAAGAGGCTAAGTAGATCATGGCTGTACTGCAAAGCATAGTGATATGACATGAAACTTCTGTAAGTTGAAATGACCAGTTAGAAGAAGTTTAGACACTGACCGCCCAGGTGCAGGGATCTGCCCTGGCCCTGGCACAGCTCCCATGCACTGCCTGGCAGTTTCAGGGTCCGAATTTCACACAGCAAGCAGATTTTAATTTTTGGATGTTAAAAGCAAGTACTCCCTCTTTCCCAGAACTGAATTTTAATAATCAATCTGTTTCAAAAGCAGATAGAAAACCCACCATGGGCAGCTCAGAATAAGTTCTCTATAGACTTAAAAACTAAAAGAACCAAATTAAAGAAAAATAATTTGAAAAAGCAGATACAGAAATGGCTTTAAAAACAAATAGCCCTTATTTTACTATGGCAGAAATCATAAAACAATACAGTTATTTTTTTCTTTAGAAGCTTCTCTAAGTTGGGCCAGGAATTTTCTCAAATCACTTGTAAAAAAATGAAGATCCTTTTTAATTGGGGTCTTATTAGGAAAGCTTCAATTAGGATGGCATAATGAGGGTATTTCTTTAGAGCACAAACTTCTAAGACAGTGCTTTCCTTAGATACCTGAAATAACAATAGCGTGGCAGCAAAAAAACGAACAAACTGGTTATTAACATTTTAAAAGAAATTTAGAGATGACCCTCTAACCCCATTTACTAGTCCTAATCCAGGATCAAAAACCTGAGCATCACTGGAAAAGTTTTGAAAAACCCTCACACATATTTTTGTAGGACTCCTTTATGACTGGAATCGGTCAGTGGTTTCCACCTACAGCTCTAAGGAATAAAAGGATTTTACCCACGTGTCAGAAAGCATGCCACCTACTATGGTGGCATGGGGAAGGAAAACAAACACCCCTCATCTGAATCCAGTCCCCGCCCTGAGCAGACAGTAAAGGAGCTGGAAGATGCCCAACCCAGGCATTTCCTGGCTAGCTCAGTCCGGTGCCAGGTAAGCACACTCGCCAGCCCTACACCTCATCACTGCAGACCCTATCTTGTCTGTATCTTCAGTCACCAGCAGAAGGGACTGATGGGGCGGGAGGGAGTGGTGGGAGAGGACTGCTCATTGACTTAAACCTGTTTTGGGAGTTGTGAGAACATAGAGCAAGAAAAGGAATTAATCACACCACTCAATAAAGTATGTTTGAGTCCGATTTTTTTTTCATTTACACTCTAAATCGGCAAGTGTCCTAGTCCCAACTAGGGGACTGGGCCCCTGGACCCCGCACGGCTACCTACTGCCCTGAAGCAGAACCTGAACTTCAAGTACCACAGCACAGGTAACTTTCAGTAAGAAGCACAACTCCCATTCTCAGTAGGCTCCAGTTCCCAAGCCTCCATCAGAGTTCTAGCCACAGCTGTCAGTCCCTGTTTTCAATCTGAAAACCCTGTTGTGTAACTAACCTACTTCCATTCATCCTTCCATTTTTACAAAAATCCTGTATTCCTTCAAAACCTTTCTCCAGGGCACTGACGGACTCGCTCCCTGGAACGAGGCTGAGGAGTCTGACAAGCACAGCAGTGCCTGGTAGCTGGGTGAACATGGACATTAGATCCGTGGCTGAATTCAAAGCCAACACAGAGGAAATCTAAAAACAGAGCAACATTTCCACTCCTCACACTTGCTGCTGTGAACGAAACCCTTCCTTTCCACTGTCAGCCTCCCACAAGCCTAAAAGGTTGCGTGACTCGCCCAAGGATGCGCTAAGACAACAGATGTCTTTTATGCTTGTTCTGGATACGGTCTCCTCCTGCAAAAAGAAAAGTTCCCCTCCTCCTCTGTAAGAAAAGGCATGAAATGCCCAAAATTTAAAGACCGAGATAACAACTTAACATTGCAGTTTGTACTCCAGTATAGAGAAAATATACTGGGTTAAAATGCAAGTTTTCAAAAAAAAAAACAAAAAAAACCCTGGAAAGCCTTAGAAGAGGGGAAATGTGTTCAACTAACATCTGCTAGGACCCACTGACCAGCTGCTTTCGGAAGAGAGAAACCGGCAGCCACTTGGAAAACAATGTCTATGGCTTCAGATCTGGCATTACTCTCAAGTATGCTTGACTTTTTCCCCTCAGATTTTAACTTTTTGGTGAAATACAGTCTGTGAGCTCCTTTAAGATCTATCTTTTCTGTCCTTTAGCTACAGATGATCCCTTTTAGGGGGTTCTAAATACCCTGGGGGTAAAGTGAGAAAGTTGCCAAAATTTTAACAGGCTTCCTGTCTGGCACAGACGTACGTACGGACTTTTGTTCTAACCTGGAGATCCACAAATAGTACCTGGTATCCAAGTCTAAGACACAAGGTCTGACTCCAAGGCAGAATCCTTGAAATGAAATCTCAGAACCAACCTGAACCTGAATGTCTTTTAGAGTAATTCAGGAAGGGTGCACAGATAGATTTTCAGAGGGTCCACGCAACGGACCTGAAACGCAATGAAGAACCGCGCGAGAGCATCCCTGGAGCAGCAAATCCGCAGCCGCCCGGCCCGGAGCCGCTGCTGCAGGAAGACTGGCTGTAGTTGGGGTCCTCGAAGGGGCTTCCCTCATCACTTCATAAAGTCAATACCCACACCCCAATCACTACACTGGGGTTTAAAAACCCTTAAGCTACTGGGAAAAAAAAAAACCCTCAACATCATAGAATGTAAGTTGTCACCTCTAAGAACATTCTAAAGAAATGTGTTGCAAGGGCCGTTTTAGGCAATTTTAAGTGGGGACTAAATCCTTGAGAGGGAACACTCACTAAAACACAAATTCAAACAAGTGTGTTTAACAAAGTTCGGTCACCTTACTTCATGCATGTCGACACCGAGACTGGACTGAGGGTGAACTAAAAGGACACTTAATATCAAGTGGAAGCTGGATGGGGATATGGTCGCACCAGTTCACTGGGTGTGAGAGGAAGGGCCTGGGGCAGACTACCTGGGCAGAGAATCAAACTCCTAGGGACAAACTTTAGAAAATACGGTAACTTCCTTCTATGGGGGGTGGTTCAGGTTTGTGATGAAGTCATAAGGTCAGGAGACAGCCAAAATTTGGCCTGTCTGCAGACCATTTCCCACTTTTTTACTATATGAAGCTCTTCTATGAAGCTCTAGTAAAACTACTGGACATTTAAAATACATTGATTTGAAGGGGGAACCAAATTGCTAGCCTTCCCAGTGACCGTGGCCTTGGGCGGGCCCCCATCCAGAGAGCTCAGGCAGCGTGCGGCCCCACCTGGTAGGCAGGCTCCTATACCAGATGTGCAGGAAACGCCAGAGTCACCATCACTAGACACCAGACGAGCCGCCTCCCACAAAATCTGGTGTGAGGTGAAAAAAACAACGCGGAGGAAGGAAAGGGAGGAAGTCGAGTACTGACTACTGGTGTCAGGCACGATGACTGGGCACTTCGCAAAGAAAACCGTGTAACATCAACAGGAGAGTTAAAGAGAATACACGGAGAGATTTTTGTGTCGTGAGGCCTTTATAAATTGGAGACAGTGAGCAAGCAGACCATGTCGCCTCCTCCCCATTTCCCATGTGAAATAATCCTGTCCCTGGTGCCTTTTGTTGAACGAGAATTAATAAATCCTGTATGATAGAGTATACCGCAAGCCATTTTTTTTAAATTACCAAAACATATTTGAAAAATATGCTCACTTTCAATTCATACACAATTAATAAACAGAATACAGTTTTTAAATCATCAGATTTGTAAAAATTAAAAGATCGATGACAGTAACAGCTGCTGGGCAAGGGGGCCAGCAGGCATGCTCACACATTCCATGGGAACGTATCATGGGAATCTTTCAGGAAGTATTTAGCAACACCTACCAAAATCTAAATGAATGGATTCTTTACTCATCAACTCCACTGCTAGGAATTTATTTTAATTATGTCAAAGAGGGCCAAACACACACATGTACAAGGATAAGGATGTTCATCCACAAGTGTAGGTTCCTACCCTTTTTGCACTATTATAAGGCATCACAGAGGACTGATGGAAAATTTAAGGTGCAACAATACACCGGAATACTCTGTGGGTGTTAACAGTGATGTAGACCTATATGAGCTAATACAGGAGGATCTCAAAGACACATTACAGGGAAAAAGCAAAGAACAGTGTGTAGGGAGTGCATCCTTATTTGATTTAAACATATAAAGATGTAAAACTATATTCAGAAGCCCAGAATCCTTCTTAGCAAAGACACAAATCTCTTCTCACTCAAAAGCTAATCCCATTCCACCCATTTCTCTTGTGTCCATTTCACCACAGGGTTTTTATTTGCACCCCAACGTGCTCTGCCTCCACTTCTCCCAAGACTGTGGGCTAGGCAGAGTCTTCTCAGATAGGACACCAATAAATAATATGACCTTTATCAAAATTAAAACATTTTTACACTTCAAATGTTACCCTAAAAACAAAAAACAAAAAACCAGCCCTGGCTGGTGTAGCTCAGTGGATTGAGCTTAGGCTGCGAACCAAAGGGTCCCTGGTTCAATTCCCAGTCAAGGCACGTACCTGAGTTGCTGCGGGCCAGGTCACCAGTAGGGGGCGCATGAGAGACAACCACCCATTGATGTTTCTCTCCCTCTCCTTCTTCCTCCCTTCCCCTCTCTCTAAAAATTAGTAAGTAAAATAAATAAAATAAATAAAAACAAGCCACAGAATAGAAACCCTTAGCAATCATATCTAATAAAGGACTTG